TAGGTGAGAGCGCGCGCGAAGTGACCACCACTTGCCGTGTGATCGTGTCATCGGCGGTGAGATGAATGGCATCGAAAGCGAACCACTGATCGGAACCGTTAACACTCATATGTCTGACAACAGACCACTCTTTGGCGATCGGTCCACGAATAGGGTATCCATGAGATCACTGCATCGCTTCCCACCACTAATCCATTGTCTTATTGTCTTCAAGGATCGCATAATAAGTTTGTCACTCTTCTCGGTCTGTGGCCTCTTGCTGTTGATTGCGATCATAACTCTGGTTACCATTAAATTCAATGCCATTAATTTGATCACAATTTTGGTGATCCTATCGTTTGTCGCATCGCACGCTCTACTCATCCAATGGTATCGATTGGGTATGTCTTCACTCGTGTTACCATTCATTCAAACATCACTTCTATTTGCTGCCAAAGATGATGGCAAACACCTATGAAATCGTTTTAAAGCGCTTATAATTTGTTGATTTTTAGCGCGTTTTTAATGTCATTTAAATAGTGTTTTAATTGTTTTGTAAATTGTTTTCATCGATCTTCAGGTGATTTGGATCCCAAGTTCAGATACCTATTGCTGTGGAATTCGGTGAACATCTGTGTGCTCTGTATTGTAGCCATAGTTTACTATCACTTCAGTAGCAAATAATTGCTTGCATTCGCTATGAGGTCTGCATTTGTAAACAAATTTAATTCAAAATACATAGAAAATTAACATAAATCCCATTTTCGATGGCATAGAAATACGATGATATCATCCGCTCATAGTCTTCATTCGTACAAAACATGTGATAATAAGCCATTCATTCCCATCGTTTACCGAAATGATTATGACATCTATTTCTTCAAAATCGAAAACATTCATCCGTTTGATACGAAAAAGTGGGGCAAAATTGCCCACAATTTGCGCCAATACTTTCAAACTGTAAAACTTTAGTTCAGATTCTTGAACCACTATTTCATTGACTTATAAATACTCTTATTTCTCATAATAATTGGTTCAGAAATATGGCGATCATTCGGGAAACGATTTCTTCATCTCCCCATCGCATAGCATAACAAAAGACGAGTTGTCTTTAGTTCACACCAAAGGTTTTATTTGTCGAATGCATTGCTCGCCGCTATCGGTGGCCAGAGCTGCCGAAGTCTGTCCACTAATTCTGTGTCCCATTTGTATAATTGAACGAAAACTCTTACAACCGATTAAATGGCAAACGTCTGGTGTGTATGAGAATTATCTCCAATTGTCATGTTATTCACGAAATGTTTTCATTAAATTTAGGCTCTATTTTGGCCGCATTTTTAGCACTTAAGTACGGGTGGGCTATAAATCTTGGCGGAGGTTTCCATCACTGCAGCGCCAACAGGGCTCAGGGTTTTTGTCTGTTCGCCGACATTACGCTAACCATTAGGTATTTATGGCAAGAAGTGAGGCCTGAACTCAATGTATTAATAGTCGACTGCGACGCTCATGAGGGCAACGGCTACGCCAGGGATGTGTTGGCAATGTCTGCGTCCGAACAGTTAGTGTTTGATTTAATTATTACCTTAAATCGCATCTACAGTACTGTCGTATTGCTTTAGGAAAAGGGTATATATTTTAGATTTATTTAATCCGTATATATTTCCGGACGATGAGAAGGCGCAGACAGCTATCAATCGGGCCATTCATTTGCGGCCCAGAATTGAAGATACAGAGTATTTAGCATTACTTGAATTGTAAGGGTATTTGTGTTAATACTAATTATTATTAAAACTAATTCTTAATTACTGACGATTTAGTCACATAAAGGCTACACTGACTGACGATCACTTTATGCCTGATCTGATTATATACAACGCCGGCACTGATATTCTAAGCGGCGATCCATTGGGTAGACTCAGGATATCTCCAAATGTAAGCCAAGTTATGAGTCGATTGTAATTTATTAATAAAAACTGCTTATATTTGTTAAGGGAATCGCAAAACGCGATGAAATAGTCTTTCGTTACGCCAAAGAAAATGACATTTCGATAGTAATGTTATTGAGGTTTGTGTTTATGAATTGTCTATAATGAGTGGTAAATGAAGAATTAGTAGACTTTCTAAAAGAATGTATATTTTTGTCAATGGTTTTAGTGGTGGATATCAGAGGAATAACGCAGAAGTTATCGCGAATTCAATTCGCAATCTGTTTGACAATCACTTTATAGATGCCATCAAATAATTACCACTTTATGGCACTCAACAGAGTCGTTAAATATTTGCATAACTTTTGCTTAATTTGTGTTTATATTGAATAATAATGTAATTGTAATACTATTTTGTAGTCTTTATTGCGAGTCATAATAATTTTAAAGTTTTAATAAAAATATTTTTGAAAACCAAGAAATTAGTCAAATGTTTGTAATGTATGAAATGAATTCAAAGCGATGTTCGGACCTAACGAGGGGTTAATGAACAGCGACTTACTTGTGGACGAGTATTAATAATTGGTCTCATGCTGTATACCGCCATTTTTCGGTCCCGGAATCGCGGTTAAAAATAATATGTAACTTATTTTAATATAAATTATATTATATACAGTCAATATCGGTAAATCTTAACAATACCAATCTGTTTTAGAGCTATTTAAATATAATTTGTTTAATTGGTACACAATTTTATTATTTTTTAATTCAGAGGTTTGCACAGAATATCAAAACAACAATACATTGAAATTCAAATTATTATAGAAACTAATATAATCTAATTAATAATGAATGCCCTGATCATTCTTGACGTTATCCCTCTTTATACGGTTTATTGTGTTCATTGACTCTTTTCAGGTTCTCTTTGAATATCAAATAGCGTTTCAGTTCTTCCGCTTCGTTTGCATACTTTTTTGAGAACTTTATCTTTTCAAAGCATATATTCAAAGCAAAAATCGTGTTAAACATTTAGATTCATACATTTGAGAAGTGTTCATTATTCATATATGAGTTAACTAGGTAAACAGCGTGAAGTTATATAATAGAATATCTAATATTGTATTCAATTCATTAGATTTGAATAGACCTTTATGAATCTTTTAGGTAAAACATTGTGTTATTACAATAATACTCACTTATTATCATAACAATTATAAAGTGTTAATTTAGTAATGAGTCAATTACTTTAAACTCTTGCCATTCCTGATCATTCCGGATCAACCGGTACGCCCTTGTGGTCATCAATATTAGTATTCATTTGTTGTCCATTTTCCTAAATCATAATCAAATAAATAACACAATTTTACACAAGTTAGACATTGTTTTCTATCCACTCAACAGTATTTCCGATGTGTTCAAGATTAATTTGTGAGCTAATTGTAAATAAGGTGAATAAAAATGCATAAACCAAATAATATTTCATTGTCTTGTATTCAGTGTTAAATGTGAATACAATTTTAATTAGGTGAACATATTCATTAATTATTTTAATTTTATATTAACACATCTGTTTATTTAATGAATTTTTATTTTTCCCAATGCATAAATAAATGTAAAGTTAGAAATTATAAATTATAAATTAGTTTTTCCTCCAGATGTTTCGGACTTTTGCCTCAGAATAAGAGTTAATTATAAATAGGATTTGTTTTGCAATTAATTGAAAACGTGTTGTCATTTAATTCAATACAAAGAATTAAAACTTTATTTCCTTTTAAACTTATAAATCAATTAATATATGAATTAATAATCCATTAAAGCATATAACTTATTAATTTCAATAGTTTTAAACCAATTCATAACTAACAGAATATTCTTGAGGCCAAACCCTATCCCCAAACTTTCACAAAGTTTATGAACTCATGCGGACGTCATATATGGACCGTCCATACGATGTGTTTATTGTTTTGAAAAGTCTGTG